GTCTTATCAGAGGTTCATCCATGAGAGCTCTTCCAGTTCCTAATTCCTGGATCTCTCCAAGTAATTTTGGCGATTGAACTGTTATATGGGCCTTTCATTTTACACTCTGTACAGGCTACCTATCATCAGTCTCGCTCAAGAATCGTGAATAGAATAAAACGGCTTGCTATAGCATTGCACGTCAATGGCTTTCATGTTTGAACATTGAGACAATGGCCTACCATCTTAACTAAAAATTAATACAACTTTTTTGAGAAGTAATCTCTATAACAAGTAGTATTCTTGAGTCAGTATCAGAAATGAGATTATACAGGATCACAAGAAACACGCTTTGTATTTTTTGTGTATCCGAATTAATAGCTTTTCTTTGCTAATGCACTGTTTTATCTCAAGTTTTCCCAGAACTTTCAGAATGACCTCAGACTCCTCTTTTGGCAGCAGCGGCAGGTTGATTTCTATCCCCCCAGATGGTGGCTGGGGTTGGGTGGTGGTTGTCGGCTCCTTCTTTATCCATGTGGTTACTGATGGCTTTGTCTATTCACTGGGAATACTTGTAGATGTCCTAATGGAGGTTTGCCAATTTCAGTTCTCTTCAATTTTTATTTTCATACGTGCATTACTAAGTAAGTTATCTTTGAGTATAAGTTTTGAAGATGAAGTCTTTTCTAGTGAACCGCGCAAAAATTGTTGTTTAATATTAAAGTTGCTTTAACATTATAGGCTGCTTTGTTTCCAACGCTAACACTCTGATTGCGCTTCAATAGGACTTTTTATTGCTTACCTTATTGTGAACAAAATCAGTTGCACATTTGATTACTTTTCCTCAACTATTACTTTGTCTGCTCTGTTTTACCTTGTCCTTCTATCGCCCAACTGCACTGCTTCGCTTTTGCTTCAAACAAATCAAGTTGAGAAGATGATGTTTTGGGATGTGGCGGCACCTACAGATGAAACTACAATTTGCTAAAATGATTGTATAAAAAGTGGTTTTCTGTCACTGATATGAGTTCTGTACACTCATGGCCGTAGGCCTGGACATCACGGCCGCAATAGAGATGGGAGCTTATTTTGGGGCAGAGAGAAACGGTTATAACGGAGAAATTCAGCGGGGGAAGTGGGCATTTTTGAGGGGTCGTCACCATCTTCTGCTAATCTGAGCTTATTCTCGCACTTTCAATGAATTTTGTCAAATATGCTGCGAAATTACCCAGGAAATTTTTTGCAGTTTGAATTGCTGATTTAATGTTGCTCTTACTAAATTTTGGATTTTGCTTAAATTTCCCAGAGGACTTCCTAAATTCTTGATCCCTTGTGGTAATAATTTCACTACGTAGCGAG